TTCATTACTTTAAAACGCTCAAAAGAGATTATTTTATAACAAGAAAGAGACAAGTAACATGAAAGAGATAAGTAAAACAAAAAATTCGGTCAAAAATATTGATTCTTTCTTTTATCAAAAAATCAAGAAATTATGAATAACGAGATTTTAGTAAATATATTTATATATATCATAAAAACTTCAAGATATTTGAATCATAAGTAAAAATTTTAAATTCTCATTTAAATAAATATCAATACTAAATACTCGCTCATTAATAATTATCTCTCCATTCAATTGTCCAACTTTTCTTCCCGTTCATTAACATCAACGAGATGTATGTATAATACATCCAGCGTTGAACACGCGCTTTGAAAAATCAATGCGTAGGTAGCCGGAAGTAGTCAGAGCGCCGCGGAGATGCCGCGAGATCTACATCTCTCTCTCTCTCTTTCTCTCTCTCTCCCTCCCTCTCTCTCCTTCTACCTCTTGGAGACCGATGTCGACTGTCCCTCGTTGGGCTTATGTTCTTAATTAGATCGTTAAATACCGGTGGCATCCGCGCGCGCAGAAATGCAACAGCAGCGTAGCAGCAACACGCCTGTCCGCTCGTCAGGCTCGCTCGCGCGATGGTTGGGCAAGGCAGAGGGAATTGCATTGCATGCCACATAATCGTGGGAGTGTTTCCCATCAAGATACACGTAGGTACCGCACACTCGCTCGCGCCGGACTCCGGTAATACCCTCTCTCGCATAAATATATCCACGCTGCGCGCATTTACATGCCCGCCTCTACGGGGTGGCTCGGCGCGGCGCACGCCGAGATAATACGGCCGATCTTATCCAAGGTAGCAAAGCTTGGATTTCGGAACAGATCGGACCATCCTAATCTCGGGAAACGGCAAATAACGACTCGCGCTTTAAGTCTTGCGTTTTTCTTCTCGCGAATTAAGGGCGCGGAGACATGAGAGAACGCTGAAACTTGTGCCTCGAATTTCACCTGGTGAAATCGGTAAAGAAAAATATATAATTTCTTCTAGAGCTATTTATTACAATTAATTAAAATTATATATTTTGTATAGGGAAATTCTTTACGAAGAAATAAATCAGCTAATATTTTTTTTAACTAGAAAAATATCAACATCAGCCTCTCTTCATATTCGATTTTGTAACGCGACGCGAAATAGTTGTCTCGAAATTAATTTCGATATTCCGGAGAAACATTATTGACTGCGGGATAAATGGTAGCGTCAGTTGTTCTTGCAATTAAAACTCTCTCTAGGTAAGAGAGAGCTATTGTGTTGTGGGCGAGCTCCTTTTCTCGTATAATTACGGCCGATGTATCGACGTCGAGGACGTAATGATTTCGGGCGACGATTATTCAAGCACCAGCGCGCTCGAATATTTTGGACCACCGAGTATGTAATATCTCGTGCATACACAACACTGGAGAAAGCTGAGAGGCGGCCAATCTTAGCGAGCTAAACGTACTTTATGCACCGTGCCCTCGTTCCGCCGTTTTATCCGAACAATTAGACACGTGGTCCAACGGTCACGGGGTGTACAAAAAAAGTCAACCTTCCATCTCGCGGGCGGAGAGGAATCCCCGATGTAGAAAGAGAGAGAAAGGAAGCGGAAAGAAATTTATCCGCGTTCGCGCCGCCGGACACGCTAATTTCACGTCAATTACACGCGACACGTAACGTACCGTAATCGCTCGGAGTTTTCTAAAGCAACACTAAACACATGTATTAAAATACGATAGATACTGGAATATACGGAAAGGTATGAGTTTTTCAGCTATTATCGTGATTGACATTAGAGACTTGATTGACATTACTTTTATAGTTCAGTTTCGTAAATAAATATCTTAATTCACGTTAAGAACCCGGAAAGTTTCTCATATAGCTGGATTCTCTCTCATTATAAATTGTTTTTTTAACAAATAAGAAATAATCATAACTTGTTACACACACAGTTACAAATACAATTGTAAGAGTAATAAACTAATAAATAGAAATATATGCTAACGAAGAATTCCTACTGAAGAATTATATTCAATTTTTATAATTGTTGAAGATTAATCAATCGTAATAGATCTTGTGTGCAACAAAAACAATCCAATTATTGGGCAGCGAGAAGTTGCAAGATGATTTAAACAGCTTAACATAAGACATTATGACATACGTTTTCTGGTAATAGTAATTTGCATATTAGACCGGTTAAGATAATCGTTGTTACGATATTAGATATTTCTCATGATCAAGTAACGCTCCTATTTATAGAGCAAATGGAGCAAAAATTTGAGTGGCGAGTGGGGTTATCTCGAAATGAAATCTTAAAACGGCATACCAGCCTCGGTGCAATTAATAATGTATTTCGCATTTATTATTTCTGCGTTTCGCTAAAGTGACACACCTCGATTAGCGTAATAACGTGCTATGGTACGTGCGAACATTCATTCTGCTTTTCATTTCAAACGAATTCATTCACGACCGTGGGTTACAAACCGTTTCCACGCTTTTGCCTTCCATTATGTTAAATTGAACGAAACGATGTCCTAGCCCATTCGCTTTTTAACCTTCACAATAGTGATCCTTTAACCCCTTAACTGTGATAAATAATAAGCTTATTTCAAGTCGGTTGCTGGCATCAACACTTATTATGAGATGTGTTATCGGAAATTTATTAAGCAGTATTTACTCTCAATCTATATGTATATTCTTATTATCAATAAATTAAAAGTGAATATTTGAAATATTCTCATATACACAAATCTAAGAATCTGAGAATTAAAATCTTTTTGAAATAGACTTTATGACATTTTAAAATATTTATGATTATAAGTAAAGAAAATTTCAATATCGCGTTAGAAATTACAAATGATAAAAATATATTTCTTTGGTAAT